CCCCAAAACCCCAAAACCCCAAAACCCCATGATGATAAAATAACGCAAAGATTGTGAATTAAATTAAAAACAATCAAAGAATATTTGAAATCAGGAGATTTACAAGAGGTAAGTTTAGCGTAATCAAAATGTCCTTTAGATTTTAGATTATATTCATGATGGAAGATTAAGAAATGCGTAGCGCTGAAATACAAATACGCTCATAGGAAGGATTAGATTATATTAGAGCAAAAAATACTACTGAAAGTGAGCTTTAGGAGGTGCTGAGAGGTGATACTCCAATTGAGCTTGATTGGCAGAATCGATGGCTGAAAGGGGAGGAATATGCTCACATTTTGAATAGAATCGACAAGTACTGCGAGGTGTTCAAGCTATTGAAATATTCTCAAAAAACACACCCTGAATCAATCTACATTTAGCCTGAAAGTAATAATATGATTCAATTTTAACTTAAACTATGATAGATGGTATGATCTATTTTGTCAAAGGAAGCTCAATTGGATCAGATTTTGGATTTCCTCGCCTTGCTTTCAAAAAAAAGTATAAATGGTAAGTTGATTGTCATTTGAAGCCTATTTTTCTGATTGAAGCTTAATTAATTCTCAATACAATAGGAAGAAGATGAATTTTACTACAGACTTACCGAAAAAGGATCCTATTGTAAGTTATATCGTAGCTAGTGCAGTTAAATGTGAGAAATTTTTCCCAGGTAGCTCTAAAGAAGGGCCTGTCTATCGTATGCATGCCGTAATCCTAACAAAAAGATCAGAAACCTAGAAGAATAATGGTAATGCAAACAGCAGAAAAACGAGTTGTATAAACGCTGCCACATCTTCTTAAAGTAGCGGAATCTTAAAAAATGAGTTTGGAGTGTCTCGCCAGAATGTCAAAAATTAGAGTTCTAACAAATGGGCACCCGCTCAGAATGCAACCAAATATATTCTTTGTCATGTGAGGAAAGTTAATAATAAGAAGGATTCAGAGGGGGATGATGATGACGCCTTTATCAGTGAGATAAAGATTGATAATGAACAGAGTCATGAAGAAATGGATATGCGACAAATTAATAATAATATAAGATTGATATCCGATGATGTCAAAGATGAGAACATTGGCTCAATTAAAACCGATTTCAGTATTGAAACAAGAACAAAATCTCATACATTTAAGTTTGACAGCATGAAGAAATCACTTACTTCTTGTAGAAAGGTTAGCGAAACATCGATGAAATTAAGAAGACGTGCCATGACTGATGGTTAAAGCCTCATATAAGAGGAGAATCCTGATAAAAATATAGAGAACATTATAGATGACTCTTCACATAACTCGGTATAGGATAACTCTCTTACCATTAGCGACTTGAAAGAGTAAGGCTCTGATGGAGAAGATTCTGATTTTATTATAAAAGATACGAGCAATAAAACCTCAAAGAAAAGAAGGGTTTAGAAGTTATAAAGAAAAAATACAGAGAGTAACAATAACCTGATTGAGGAATAGTAAAACTCTCAGATAATTTCACCTGATATGTCCAAGAATAACTCATAATTGAATGAGTTTCTAAGTCCTGAAAACGGACGCAAGCACTCTGCTCAAATTGTTTAGGATAATCCTGACTAGATTGAGCTTTAATAAGATGCTCAGCTCTTTGCTCATTTATATACATTGCAAAAAAGGTAAAAAAGATCAGAATCTTTAGACTATACCATGTAAACTCTCAACATTGATGATAAGTCAACAAATGCTAATACCAATAATGTTTTCAATTTTACAGAGAATTTCTCAAAAACGACTATGAATTCCCCACCATAGGCTCCCTTGCCTCGTCCCATTCCTTTAATGAATAACAGAGGATTATACAGGAAAACATCAGAAGTGATTGGAGATAAGGATAGAATTTCTGCTTTTAAAAAATTTGATACCAATTAAAATTTCCAATTGGGCTAATAAATCCAGCAATTCAAAAGCCCCCAACTAAATCCAACCCAGTTTTGCTCCCCATTCAATGCTCTAAACTCCAACTATTTTGAATAATGCTTTACTGAGACGAATGATAACTTGAAATTGAAGAGTAACATACTTTAGAATCTTGTTCATTAAAGTTAAATAATGAATCAATCCTGCTTAGGTAATCAATCTCATTTCGGGACTCCAAACTTACCTAGTATAATGAGTTTGAGTACAATGCAATCATAAAAACCACCTCTATATGGCTAAACCTGTTAAATATAGCAATAAAACCAAGTACTTACAAATAAATATGGTCTTTTCTAGGCATAGACTTAGAACAACATTCCTGATATCATTAACAATATCAATAACTCAAATGTAAATATTTTCAATTAGCTATTCAGTTTCAAACTACCTGAATAGCAGCAATAATAAAACCAGACCTCGTCGAACATTATAAATAGTCAGATTCCTCTCTTGAGGAAGGCTTCAATGCCAACTGACTTTTATCTAGATTAGATAAACAGTAATATGGGTTTTCACTAAGGAGATTGCCTCCCAAAGTGAGTCAACCTGCCAGCTAACCTTTTATATCCATATATATTTATGAGAATCAATTATCAACTTTAGTAGCTATTAAATCATGTTAATTTCTATTATTTATTTTATAGAGATTTTTTTGTAAATAACTTTATCCTGGGGTTTTGGGGTTTTGGGGTTTTGGGG